ATGAACACCTAATGACAAAGGTAAATTTAGAAAGCTAATTAGCACAAACATTTACTCAAAAGAAATATGAGAAACTCTAATATATGAAAAATTGGAAAGCGTTGCATGAATGTGAGAAACTAAAGACCAAAAAGCAATTAGAGGTGGCAGATTATAGTTGACTAGATTAACCACCAAAATAATTATCACATTCAGCTTCCAAATGAAAATAATTTATACTCAAAGCAAGCCTTATACCTATTAATAATGTCCATAACTCAAGACCTAAAACCAAAGTTATCCCAACACTCGTATCAAACCCCACATTTCATAATAAATTATCCAGATGCCATCTAATATAGCTTTGCAGTAACCGCCAACATCCATAAATTTGATAAGAAAATAATTGTTACCTAAGTCTAAAAATTGGTGCCTATTAGGTTTCCTCAAAACCTGCAGCTTTGGACATAAAGTTTTGCATTCAGTCTTTCTTCCCCATAAGTGCATCACCATCACTTTTTACCATTTTTTAGCCAAATTAATCTATAGGCTTTTTGATACACACATCTCTAAAACTCCCCCATTACAATCTATTTAGATCATCCGATAATATAACAAAATGATTATCTAGGTTTTCATCCTCCATCTATACATCTAACCCCTAAATGACCTTGTTCCAAAATGATTGTCTAACACCTAGAGCAAGAATCTCATCACCATCATTGCCCATCTCCTCTCCTTTCTCTCTGTGTTTAACTGTTTTAATGGCCTATCTTCTTTGTTAGTGTTTTCATTAGGATTCTCTCTACTAGATAATTTTTCCTCACTCATGTTCTCTCTTTTTGCCTTTGTAAGTGGCAAACTTATTTAGTCTAATGCATAAATTTGGCATGGTACTTTCGGTGATTATCCCTAGGCCTTGTCCGGATGATGATGAGGTTTTTCCTAAAGAAATAGAACTGAGTGCTGTCAATCCTCCATAAAAATCATTATACGCACTGTGGCCTCCTGATTTGTGGGGACCAATCATGACATTGCGCTTTCACATTTCAGTTATAAATATGCCATTCGCCAAAATAAAATGTGAAACTGCATGATCATTATTGAATCACGGTAAAGTTATTATATTTTGGCGATGCACATAATTATTACTGAAGTATGAACGTGTAAGGTCATGATTCAATCTCTACAAAGTTAAATTTATACATTATGTCAAACTTATCAACACATATCTTCTTTTATGGGTAGTCATTATTAAAGCATGAGAGTGACAATTTTGAAATTCAAATTTTCATTTTCTTTCCACCGAGCAAAATTCATTAATTTATTAACTATATTATAGTATTTTATTCATTTTTTGTAGGATTCTATTAAACACAGATTGTGTCATTTAGTACCAATCAAATAATATTATTTAGAAAATTGATAAAAAGTTAATTCATTTACAACTATTTTTGCCTAAAATTTTGATTGCTTAATGATTCCCTTAATTGTAAAAAACAGTTGTAAACGCGAAGACAATACTACAAAAAATTAGAGTAGTGATATTTGGCTCATGGTGATTTTGGATCATAGCACCTCAAATGACAGATATAATGTTGAGTGCTTTTGGATGGATAAATGACTGAGAAAGAAATTTAATTTTGGAAGGAAATGTATATATTAAATACATGTTCCCATAATTAATTACTTCACTTTATCACATAATTAATTATATATATGTGGTTGAAAATGATGATAATCATTAATTTTATTGGTCATGGTTAACTTGGTTAAAGCTAATCAAAATAATTTATATACATAATAAAAATTTTTAAATCTAAATTAAATTCTATAAGGATTGAACAACACTCAAGTAATAAACTGCACCGGCAACTAAATCGGTATCGTGACTGGATCAAGGTTGGATTGGATGGGTTGGACTGGTTCAACCAGATTCTTAATTTTTGAATTTTTAATATTTTTACGTGTGTGTGTGTGTATAGACTTTATCACATGAAGTGTTAAATTATAATATAGGTGGTTGCAAAATGATGAATCATTATTTTATTGGTCCATCGGTTAACTTGTTAAAGCTAATTAAAATATTTAATATAAGGTCAATAAGGATGTATTCAATAGAAGAGATTAGGTTTTAAAGTCCTGCTAAATGTTGGAAAATTCATAGTTAAGGAGTTGAACAACAACGATACGCAAGAATAAACTGCACCGGCCACTAAAAGTCGGTATCGTGACTGGATCAAAGGTTGGATTGGATGGGTTTGGACTGGTCAACAAGATTCTTAATTTTTGAATTTTTATATTTTTACGTGTGGTGTGTGTGTATAATATATTCAATACTATATATATTTTTTTTATCAAAGCAAAATACTATTTTTTTTTTTATTTATATTCTAAATATTTTAGTCCTCCAATAATACAATTCCTTTTATTAAATGAGGCAAAGAATTAAAAAAGGTAAAAGAGAATCTATATATTATATATATATATATATATATATTGCAAAAAAATAATTTTCAATCCAGTTTTCTAAAAAGAAATCTATTTTTTCCCAAAAAAATCGATTTTTTTTAAGAAAATTCAATTTTATCCTGTTTTATCAAGAAAATCCAGTTTTTATCACCGATTCAACTTGATTTTCTAAAAAAATTCAATTTTTTTTCAAAAATCGGTCCAACTTGATAATCAAACTGAACAACCAATTGGTTTTGATTTAACTAGTTCGACTAGTCAGTCTGATCCAATTCCAACAATACTGTATATGAATATCCTTTTAATTTATTTTAAAGGATATAAAATCCTAGCATATGAATCCTTTTAATAAAAATTTTTAAGTCTAAGTTCTATATAAAAATTTTGACCAAAGTATGGATCCTACCATTGTTCATGCTTAATCAAAAATTTTTTAACTGGACTAAATTTAATTTAATTATTGTGTGACCAAGCGCAATTTTAACTAATTGTTACTTAATCTCATTCCAATTTGGTTGTCTTAATTTAATTTCTTAATTTAATTTAGTCTTAATTTAATTTAGTTCTAAGTACGACTCATCAATCACTACTCGATTTAATTTCAATTAGAGTATTTTACTTTAATTTAATTTTAGGTGTGACTTAATTTAATTCAAATTAGTTTGTCTAATTAATTTGATTCAAGTGTGACTACTCAATTGCTATTTCATTTAACTTTAGTTTAGATATCTTAATTTAATTTGATTTTTAAATATGATTTAATAAAATGTAAATTAATCATTCAAGTTATTGCATATCATTTTAATATGTGTAAAGAACGTCTAATTAATTTAATTCAAGAGTGACTTACTCAATTGTTATTTCGTTTAACTTTAATTCAGATATCTTAATTTAATTTGATTTTTAAATATGATTTAATAGAGTGCAAATTAACCATTCAAGTTATTGCGTTTATCTATATGCATTGAAATTATATGCAGAGAATAACTAATTAATTTGATTCAAGTGTAACTAACTCCATTATTACTGCATTTAACTTTAGTTTAGATATCTTAATTTAATTTTATTTTTAATTATGATTTAATAGAGTGTAAATTAATCATTCAAGTTTCTGTCTTTATCTATATGCATGAAAATTTATATGTAGAGAACATTCTATAGACTTATTGTAAGAAAATGCATAATAAGTGTCACAACGATTTGCACGATGATTGATCCTGAGATTTTACTTATATTCATGCCAAAATGTGTGTTTATATGTCATTTGAGTTATAGCTCTCAAGTGTGACATAATCAATGGTTATTTAGTTTAGTTTAATTTTAGGTATAACTTAATTTAATTTGATTCAAGTGTGACCAAATGTGATTTATTTAATTGTTAATTCATTAAATTTCAATTTGAATGTAATTTAACTTAATTGTTAAATATGACTTAATAAAATATACAGTAAATTTAAATAAGGCTAGTTTAATGGCAATGAACACTTACGGGATCAATCACAATGGTTTAGATTATGAGTTTAATCCTTTATTTGATTATTTTTTCATTATTTATTCACCGTTTTGCCACTCCATCTACAAATAAAATACTTATTTTCGTGTTTAGTAGTTAAATTTTCAATATATGTTTAGCATACACTCTCTATCACAATAATTCTCATTTTTCTAATTCATGATTAAATTTTTAATTCATCTAATTTAACCATCTTTATACACACAAAATTCTAGAAAATTAAATTTAACCATCTTTATACACCCAAAATTCTAGAATACTTATTTTCGTGTTTAGTAGTTAAATTTTCAATATATGTTTAGCATACACTCTCTATCACAATAATTCTCATTTTTCTAATTCATGATTAAATTTTTAATTCATCTAATTTAACCATCTTTATACACACAAAATTCTAGAAAATATTCGTAATATTTTTTATGCATTTCACAACTTAATTATTCTTAATGTACTTGTAGTGAAATTTATATGTAGAACTAGTTTTCAAGTATAACCAATACGACTTTTTAAATTGTTACTTAATTTAATTTTAATTTGAATATTTTAATTTCATTTGATTTCAAATATAAACGAGTGTAGATTAAAAAAAATAAAGTTAAATGAAAATTAAGTGACATATGATTGTTATGTCTCATAAATCACTAAAACACTTGTAAAATATGATTTATTAATTGATGTGGTAAAAACAAAATAAATGTGCTGCACTTCCACCGCTAATCTCATCCATTTAATATTTTGTTAAAGTTATTAAATAATGAAAGAAAAATATTTAAAATTTAAAATTTAAATCTTTCTTTGTATCAAACCTATCAATTTTAAATGAGGATTGAAGTATCATTTGACGTATTAAATTTGGATAAAAATATCCACAGAGAACAAAAATCCTTTCTCAAAAAATTAATATTTAATTTTAAATCTTTTTCCGTGTCAAACCTATCAATTTTAAACGAAGATTGAAGTATCATTTAACATTTATCCGCACAGAACAAAAACCCTTTCCCAAAAAATTAATATTTGAGGCTGTTTTTTTTGGACAGTTCCAAATAAAATACATTCAACATGTGCCTTTCTCTCACTCTTAAGGGGCAACTGGAAAACTTTTTAATCTCTCTGCCTTGGCTTTGACTCTTTTCGTTTCACATGCTTCTTCAATGGCTCAGCTTGGTTCCGCACCCTCAAAGGGGCTGTGCTCGATCCCTGAACGGACAAAGCTGCATATAGCCATGGGAATCTTTCAATTAGGTTATGCAGGGAATCATGTAATTTTGAGAGCTGCACTTAACATGGGTATAAGCAAGCTTGTTTTCCCTGTTTATCGGAATATCATTGCTCTGCTTCTACTGGCTCCCTTTGCTTATTTTCTAGAGAAGTATGTGTTTTCAAGCTATATTTGAATTTTTTTTATGTAATTTTTTTATTTGTATTTATTTTTATTGTTGATACAGGAAAGATAGACCTGCAATGACCATTTCTTTTCTCATACAGTTCTTCCTCCTTGGATTTATTGGGTATGATCTATTCTTGATATATGATATATAATATATTAGAATGAAAGTTAAGTAATTTTACTTTTACAAGTTGAGATTTAGTGACAAAAGCCTAATTAACCAATAAAAAAGAAATAAGTTTGATGAAAATAATTTTTTCCCCTGAAAAGATTTTTGTATTTTATTGTTGCAGGATAGCATCAAATCAAGGATTCTATCTATTGGGTTTGGATAATACCTCACCCACATTTGCTTCTGCTACAGAGAATGCTGTTCCTGCAGTGACCTTTATCTTGGCTACCTTGCTCAGGCAAGCCAATATAGCTTGGCTACGTTTATGCCTTTTCTTTTGGTTTAAGACCCTAAGTGAAATTGGTTTTTTATTTTGTCTTGCAGATTGGAGCAGGTTCACTTGAATAGGAAAGATGGTATAGCTAAGGTACTTGGCACTCTAATTTCCTTTGTTGGAGCTTCAATCATAACCTTATATAAGGGACCATCCATTTACAGGCCAAATTCATCATCTCCTAACCAATCAAAGTTATTTTTCTTATTTGGAGATGCCAATTCCAAGAATTGGACCTTGGGTTGCGTCTCTTGCTTTGGCCATTGCTTGTGTTGGTCTATCTGGATTGTATTACAAGCAATCTTCTTGAAGAAATACCCTGCTCCATTTACAGTGTATTCATTTACTTGCTTCTTTGGTATTCTGCAACTTTTTGGAATTGCAGCATACATTGAGACAGATCCTCAGACTTGGCAGGTTCACTCTGGTGGTGAACTCTTTAGTCTTCTTTATGCGGTTAGTAACTAACTCAAACTCGTAGAACGATAATTTCAATTCAAGTAGTTCTTCATGCACTGTTCAGTATAAAATGAAAGAAAATGTTTATTTTAGTCCCGGAATTCAACATAACAAATCAAATTCTACCATATTTATAAATTGATTTTGTACTTCAAATTCATCTACACCAGTCTTGGTTTTAATCTAATTGGTGGAGGCAGGGCTTAGTTGTTTCAGGAATTGGATTTGCAATACAAATATGGGTTATACAGAGGGGTGGTCCAGTGTTTGTTTCAGGATATCTCCCTTTGCAGACTATGCTAGTAGCTTTAATGGCTTCCATTACCTTAGGTGAAGAATTTTACTTAGGAGGGTAAGAAGTTTTCCTTCCTTGGTCTAAGCAGACTTTTCAATCGAACTATGTATATATATAACTAGAAAGATTACCTGGTAACTTAATGTTTGTCAAATCTTATTGTTTTTTATGAATTCAACTTGCAGCATTATTGGAGCTGTGCTAATTATAGCCGGACTGTATCTTGTTGTTTTGGGGAAAAGTGAAGAGAGCAAGCTTGTCATCAGAAAAGCTGTCAGCTCCTTAGTGTCTGAAAATAGTCAGACAAACAGTAGGGGAAAATCCTCTTTTCTTCAACCATTGCTTCCTAGTTCAAGTGAATGATGCATTGAGAAGTAGACACAGGATTTTTGGAGAATATTTATCCCTAACTGGTCATTATTTTAAGAGACCAGATGAAGAACAGGTTTCTGCAAATTGAAGTGAATAAAGCTGAAGACTTCGAAAGTAAATGATGAAGAAAAATGAAGGAACGATTAGTACAGAAAAGCTTTCAATCTTTTTGATAATGAAAGATGTAATGTATTTATTAATTGATAAAGAAAACAAAGAAATCTTTGTGTCAAGGCTTTGAAAAAATAGAGATAGTGTCATGACTTTACTGGTCATTTCTTGTCTTCCACCATTTTGACATTAGACTCATGCTAGTCAGATTTTCAATTTGTAAGACTACAAACATGACATTTTGTTCATTATCTAAGGCTTTGACAGGAAGGGTCGAAATTAAACGTAAACGGCAGGAGAGGCAAGTGTTTTTGCCGGTTGAGTTATTAGATTTGATAAGTGTATATATCCGGTGTCGATAGGATTAGGGATGCAAATGAGCGACTGAGTTCAGCTTGCCTGGCTCCATAAAATTTTTCTCCGCTCGAAGTTTTAGGAGCTTTAAAATTTTGAGTTGGAGCTTGGCTTCACTGAAGTTTACCACTTCCTGATATGTTAGTATTGTATAACTTCAATAACTTGAGACAGGACAAATTCTAAAAAAGAAGCTTTCAAGTTAAATAAAAGAAAGAAGAAATGTAGATTCCATTGATGAAAGAGAAACAAGAACCAAAATAGAACTAGCAATTTAGAGCCTAAAACACGACTGACTAGTCCTGCTAACTGCTGAGCTAACAAAAACATGAACTCTTAAACCAAGTATTAATTAGAAGAACTATGCTTGCTCTTCTTTAGGATACCAAAACCGGTTATAAATCCAAAGTGAATCAGCTGCAACTGGCTCGTTATCTTGATTACGATGCCAAGAATAATAAGCATGAGTTCTATTCTTGATTTCAAGAATGGCATGTCCAAAGCTTGCCTCTCGAAAAGCAGAGTAACTAGGCTGCGGTTCAGTAAAACTGCATAAAGGGCGGGCAATTTTAGAAGAAATTAACAGATATCAGTTCTAACAGAGAATTTAGAAAAAGAAAAATGGTATAACTTTACCTATCAGCAAGTCCTTCTATGTTTCCACCATCTCCAATAGTTATGTATATTGGTGCTGAAGGGTCTTTGATGGGTGTGCTTAGTCCATTTGTTATATTGTACCTTATATTTGATACTCTATGCTATTATATGGATAAAAATGAAAAAGATTATCAACTAGTTAAGTGATAGAATCGAATGTAATAATGAAACAAAAGTGAATTGGAAGAGAAGGAACTTACACTGCGCTCATAACAATGAACATGACCAGCGAAGACAAGGTCGACTTTGTTTTGGACGAACCATGGCTCGAACATGACTCTCATGGTCTCACCTTCCATGTAATGGTAGTTAATGCTATTATACCATGGAGAATGAACCAGCACAATCAGCCATGGAGTCTCTTTTCTGTCAACTTTCTTGAGTTCTTTCTCTAGCCAAACATATTGTGGAGTATATTTTCCTACATGTACATGCAAACACCATCAATATTTAGGCTGTTTAGGCTGTGTTAGGTAACAGACCCTTAATTTAAAGTTGTTAAAAAATGAAAGCAAATAATCATACCATAAGCTGAGTAAGAAGAGAGGACAATAATGTAAGCAGAAGCACGCTTGATGGAATACCAAAGGGGAGATATGCTATTTGATGCCTTGTAGGGTGTAGGAAACCTATGCATAAATGGCTTAAAAGGAGTGGTTTCATCCTGAAATAACATGGAATAGTTTATTTCATTATGGCTCACCAAACAGAACTTCAATGTTTATGATCAATCAGACAGAATAGAATGTTACAGCAATTGCATGAAAAGAAATGGATTTACAATTTCAGGAGCAAAATCAAGTTCATGATTCCCAGCAGTCCAAATCCAAGGCTGATATGCAGTGCTCTTTTCAGCGAACCGGCCCCACGTGTCCCACTTGACATTGTCATGAAAAGGATGATTATCTGCATAAGAAATATCACCAACAAATAACATAGCTTGTGCTTTTGGATTAGACACATAATGTTCTAACGTTATATTAGAATCATATGTTTGCCCCAAGTCACCTGCAAAACAAGAAAAAAAAAAAAAAAACTCTTAATACCAAATGTAAATGGGACATCATATGATATCAAGAATCAATTTTTATTTCTTCTTACTAGTTCCAGAACTTACCCATAATACCAAATGTAAATGGGACATCAGGTCCTACTTCAGGAGGAGTAGTAAAAGAAAATCTGCGAGTTGATTCGTCACTACCAATCTCATAGAAGTACTTAGTGTTGTACTGAACAAAAGTTGAAAATTTTCATGTTAATGCTAATTAATTCATATAATGCAGTGAAAAAAACAACATGAAAAGCATAAATTAACCGACCTGTAATCTCTTAATGGTGGCATGATGAATGTAGCCAGAATTGTAATTATAGTATCTGTAATATGTAGTTTCTGCAGATGCCTTGTGCCTGTGCCTGTGGCTGTGGCTGTGGCTATGCTTTTTCCCTGCAGGCCAATAGGTCACTGTGTTTGGATATTTATCCACTGGTGTTACCCATGAAATGATTACACTTCTTCCTATATGATCTCCTTGGGTTATATGAACCTGCACATATATTTATTATCACTGTGAAATTCCTTCGGCATTCCTTGAAACCTTGACTTCGTAAAATGTAAATGTTTTAAAGAATTATTACCTGCTCAGGAGCATTATGGCCAGATGGAGGAGGAAAAGCTTCACGTGGCATGTCAATGGAAGCTTGAGTTTTTCTAACGAAATGACTAGTGATGCCTCCATGGCATGAGCTAGCAATATTTAGCAATGACAGTATTAATAAAGCTATTGCAGTCATTGTAGAAGAAGAAGAAGCAGCAGCTTAGTGTTTGACCTAATAACGTAAAAGAAGGCCAAAAGAGTGAGTCTTATTTATACTTCGATTGTGGCTCGTGGTATTAGGTTTCAGTTTAGATATGGCTGACATATTGACAGCTGAATATCTCAAAATCAAGGAATATTCCCATTCTTATGCTTTGGAAACTCATTTTAATTTTCTCTCCCTTTTTTTAAGTTTTAAAATAACTTCTGATTTGTGATTTTTTTTTTATGAGTATTAGAGATGAGAAAATTTTGTACCGATGAGATTTCAATTGTCGAAAATTCCAAATTGAACTTTAATAATTTTTTATTATCCACTAATTCCAACTTTGAATTTTCTATTGGTTTTGATTAACGTTTATGCTATATTTTCAACTTTTAGTTATTGATCGGAATAGTTGAAACGATGGTGCCAACAAACATTTCATTTGGTATTAAATAAATTTAAAATGCATAATAAATTTTTCGTATTTGATTAGAATTCTGTTAGATTTTTTAAAAAAATTATTGAGTTTGACAGAATTAAAGGACTTTCTAAGATTTTTGCAGATTCCATTAAAATTCTACGTTGAGTTTTATGGACTAGGTGAGTTTTTTTTTTTTTTTATAGATTTTGATTGACTTTGATGAATTATAATGATTTTTATATATCTAATAAAAATTAATTTTAAGACCTAATTTAACAATTTAAAATGTTTTGAAAGCCAATTGAAAAACAATGAGGACCAAAAAGTAAAATACGTCATTTTCTCCAAAATCATCTTTTCTTCCATAAACCTTATTGCTGCTGACAGTGAAAAGCCTGCAATGGCCAGCGTATCCAGCAATCATCTTGTGCTCTCAGAACAGTCGTGATGTGGTCGGAACATCGCTGGCTTCTTATTTTTTGACTGAATGGTAACCGTCTCGACAGAAAACCGCCGGTATATATATATATATATATACATAAGAACCTTATTGCTGCTGCATGTGAAAAAGCCTGCAATGGCCAGCGTATTCCAGCAATCATTTTGTGCTCTCAGAAACAGTCGTTGAATGTGGTCCGGAACATCGCTGGCTATTCTTTATTTTTTGAAACTGAATGGTAAACGACTCGACAGACAAACCGCACGGTATACTATATATATATATAATAATATATATTAATATATATATATATATATTAGTATTATATATATATATATATTATATATAATACATATATATATAGCAACCACCGCTAGCTGAGGACATGCCTATTGGAAAAACAGAAAAAAGGAAACTAACCTGGAAAAGGAAAGTTTCTATTCCAGCATGCAAGAATCCCTACAATTAGGATTGCAATTAATTGTAATTAGACTAATTAGGAAAAGTTTTTTGTATAAGAACACAATGACAGAAATAAGAGATATAGAATTCTTTTATCAAACAGACATGGTATCAGAGCCTGGTTCAATCACAATGAATCGTGTTCTTATCTGAGTTTCATCATCTACCTTAATCCAACTTACCTGGAAGCATAAGTGATCAATCCGAGAGCTCAGCTTCAACAGGAGCAACTGAAACACCAAACATGGATGTTTCTGCCGCTCAACTACTACAGATTCTCCAAAACTTAACCAACAAACCAAGCCAAATAGAAACCTCCAACAACCAGGCTGTTAATTTAATAGTCAAGCTCAATGAATTTAATTACACCCTCTGGTCTCGATTAATGGAGATCGCAATCAGCAGAAGAGGAAAACTCGACCATATACTGGGAGAGAAGAGGAAAACTCGACCATATACTGGGAGCCTCTCCTCCACTTTCATCTGATGGAACCTGCATCAAATGGAAACAGTCAGATTCAATTGTTTTTTCATGGATAATAGAAAATATGGAAGTAGAGCTAGCGGTCCAATATGTTCAACATGCAACCGCCAAAGAACTGTGGGAGAGTCTCGCCACAACATTCCAAACAGGCAGTGATTCCCTGCTGATTTTCGATTTAACTGTTAAAGCTAATAATCTCAAGCAAGGGACTATGACCATTGAAAAGTTTTTTGGAAACTTACAAGCGATTTGGAAAGAGATTGACCGCTGGATGCCCAATCCGATGAAGCACCAGGAAGATATTGAAGTCTTCAATCGGATTCAACAAGAAACGAAACTTTTCCAGTTTCTCGTCGGAATTCATGACCGGTTTGAAATTGAACGGCGGGACATCCTTAAGCAAGACCCTCTCCCATTAGTTGAAAGGGCGTATGCTATGATCAGAAGAGAGGCTGCGAGGCGAGGCATACTGGGACCAGAGAAAGATGAACAGGTAAACCCAAAAGGGCGTATGCTATGATCAGAAGAGAGGCTGCGAGGCGAGGCATACTGGGACCAGAGAAAGATGAACAGGTAAACCCAGAAATCTCACAAATCGGTCAAGGCCTTGTAGCCAAATCCCGGTCAGATCTTGCCCGGACTGTGGCTAAATCATCATCCCGGAGCGAGGAGGTGGATAAATCGAAACTTAAGTGCAGCCATTGTGGGGGAACAAGGCATACGAAAGAAGGTTGCTTTAAGATAATCGGTTACCCCGATTGGTGGACAGAAAATAGAAGGAAGGGAGCCAAGGGAAGAGCTGCGGTGGCCACGGTGGGCAACGAAATCGCTACCAGCACTACCAGCATCGGGAGAGGAACAGATTACGAGAGGAGTTCCGGCGGCCAACGTTTCGGTTGGAGGAGGGGAGTTGGAGGAGGGGATGAATCGCAGAACTATAACAAAGGAGGTATAGGGTTTGAGGGAAAACTTCTCTTAAATCCCTGCTCTTCTAATTTTACCTCATTTAATCATGATTTTTCTGAAAATTATAATTGTGCCTCTGGAACTTCTGAAATTGATGAAGGAGGACCTGAATTTGTTGAAAATTGCAATTTAGTGCCTGCTTTGTTTACAAGAAGTAGAGATGATCCTTTAAAAAGTAAAAATGTTGAAAGAGAACAAAATTGGCTTTTAGATAGTGGGGCTACGGATACAATGTCTTATGATCCATTGGACTTTAAATCTAAGACAACTCCTCGGAAAACTTGTATTCGGACTGCGAATGGGGGTTACTCATTCATCTGTTTGAAGGCGGCAGAGGCAAATTGAAATCTCTCCAAACCCTTAGATTTCTAATTGCTTATATGTGTCCTAGTTTTATCTCATAAATTTCTTATCAGTAATTCATGTTACTAAAGAGCTAAATTGTTCGGTACTGTACACCTAACCTTTTGTATTCTGCAGGATATCCAGACAGGGATAGATTATTGGGCTGGCACTGAACACGGAGGTCTGTACTACTAGGACGAGGTGGACAAAAAAAAAGGTACCATAATGCTGGCTCATGGGGACTGTGGGATCGGCAAGTTTGGTTTATGGGCACCGGACACTTGGACATCCATCTACGGCGGTACCTTAGAAATTTATTTCCTAAGTTTTTTTTAAGAAACAATAATTCATGTGTTCTTTGCAGACTTGTATCCTAGCCAAAAGCCCATAGACAAGTTTTTCCCCAGAATAATGACTAAGACTTGATATGCCCTTTGCACTTATAAACATTCTGATGGTCTAGGGGTCACTCAACCCATTACCATAGTAACCATTGGTTTTCTATATTCCTTCTATTTTATTTGATGATTGCACTAGAAATTAACTTGGTTTATTTTTTTGAAAAATAAATCAGAGGTTTTCTGAAAAAATTTGCTACATGTTTTATAACCTTGTTCAAACGCAGAAACAGTTTACCAAAAACAAATTAAGATTACTCATTCTGATAATGGAGGGGATACATTAACCATAATATGAGGAATTTTTTAGCACCCATTGGTCTCATTCAACCAAACAAACCTGTCCTACACTCCACAACAAAACGGGGGTGTGCTTGAGTAGGAAAAAAATAGGATCCTTTTGGAAATGACCCGGCAGGCCCAACTGAATAGGAATCTTATGTAACATAGAAACCTATGGCCAGAAGCCATTGCCACAGCTGCCTTACCTCATAAAATCGGCTTACCCACAAAAATTTTAAACTTCAAAAACCCCACTAGATACCTTAGCCCAAACTTATCCAGATTCCAATCCGTCCTCACCCTTCCTCTTCGAATTTTTTGCGGTGTACAGTTCTATGTTTTTGGGTGTACAGTCTATGTCCATATCCCGAAAATTAATCATACAAAACTTGATGCTTGTGCGGTTAAGTGTGTTTTTGTGGGGTATGGAGCACACAAAAAGGGATATAGATGTTATGACCCAGTTAATCGACACTTGTACACAACTATGGACTGTAATTTTCTGGAGACAGAATATTACTTTCAACCTCAATCCAGTGGTCAGGAAGAGACATCAAAACAAGACCCACTGAATTGGCTCATTAGTCCAAACTTATCTGCCAGTCCAGACTTGTCAATTCCGGTCCAAACAGAGCAAGCAGGTACTGAGTCTACCCCGGAACACGAGGTACTACCAAACAGAGCAAGCAGGTACTGAGTCTACCCCGGAACACGAGGTACTACTTCCGGAATCAAATTCTCCCATATCTTCTCTGTCTGATATTCCTGAGGTAAGTACCCATAGTACAGAACCTAATGCTTCTACTAATATTCCTGAGGTAAGTACTCATAGTCCAGAACATAATGCTTCTACTAATCTTGAAACTAATGAGATGTTAGACAGGAGTGAGACACAAACTAAGTATATATTACCTCCCAGGAGTAATCGAGGAATACCACCTAAGAAGTATGAGCATGAGCATATACCATGAAATTCCAGATATCCAGTGGTAAATCTAGCTATGAGGAATCTTTCCAAAGAAGCAAAAGCTTTCAACAGTGCTCTGTATTCAGAAAAAATACCAAGACCAGTAAGAGAAGCTCAACAGAGTAAGGAATGGCAACAAGCAATGGAAATAGAGATGGAGGCACTCATGAAAAATGGCACATGGGATAAATGCAGTTTACCAGTTGACAAGAAACCAGTGGGTTACAAATGGGTGTTCACAATTAAACGTAAACCTAATGGTTCAATTGAACGCTACA